AAGAGCTGGATACAGAGAACAGCTAATGCTCTACCATCCTTAGCTAGTTCATGCTAACAGGGCCAAGCAAAGCTTTAGGTGATTCTCCTTTGGAGATAAGGAAAATGAGGTTCATCTGGGTTGCTAGGGGGCTGGCTCCAAGGTAGATCACTTTCCAGCCATGTGGGAGGCTGTGGGTTCTACCCCCAGTCCTACACACACACACACACACACACACAGAGAGAGAGAGAGAGAGAGAGAGAGAGAGAGAGAGAGAGAGAGAGAGAGACAAGGAGGTATGGTGAGTTGGGGGGTGACTTGACCCTACCTCAGGAATAGAAGTCGATAGTAAACAAAGGAAACACTGCAAGTGGTCTTGAGCAAGTTCTCTCTGTCTCTCTGTCTATGGAACCTCAGTTTCCCCTTCTATGAAATGAAGGAACTGTGCCAAGAGAGTGCACGTTCAAGACTTCAGGGGTGGGATACCTAGAGCCCTAGCTGCACAGTGGATGTGGGCTTCTGGGCTGAGGTCCGATGCCTCACATTGTCCATTCTGTGGGGATAAATGTGCATTTATGTTGGTTTTAATAACATCTGCAGGAGCTTTATATAGTGCCTGTGTCTGCTTACATTAGACGATGTGTATTAGAGTTAAGAGTCTTTCACTATTTCCCACATAAACCGAGTTTTTTATGGGGTTGGGAGAACTCAGCTGTAAAACCTCTCAGCTGAAAAAAAAAAAAAAAAAGTTTTCTTTTTTTGCCCAAACAAATTGGGTTGAAATCAAGAGTTGGCTTCAGACACTTTAGAACATGCATATTTTTTTTTCTCGCTAGTCACTTTTCATTTAAAAATGAGGCTAACTGATTTTTTTTAAAGTTCCATTTCTTTTATGAGGATTTAGCTAGTTTAACTGTTTAACTAGTTTAGCTAGTTTAACTGTAGTTTAACTGTGGGTTTTGTGGAAGGAAGGTGTTCTAGCCTTTTCCAAAGGAACCCTATGCCCCAAGCAGGCACAGCTGCTCTCTGTTCCTACTGCTCTTTCCCCTGGCCCCAGGACCCTGAGCTAGTGACTTCCATACTCTCAGCATCTGTCCCTAGGAAGCCTCATGCTTGCCTGGATCCCTTCTAGGCTTTGAGGATTAAACTGTGCTCAAAGCAGTGGAAGGTCTGTGAGAAGGCATTGCAGACTCCCATAGTTGACCACCTAAGGCTCTTCCCTGGGACTCAAGGAAAAGTGGAAAGAGAAAATGACTCCACAAGGGTGCCTCTGACCTCCACTCTCAGGTCACGGCACACGCCTGCATACACCCATACATACACCCATACACGCACACTAATAATGAATATATATATTTAAGAAGCGGGAGAACTCTGGAAAGGAAAAATGAGGATTCCATGTAAACAAACTGAGGAGCTGCTTCACAGGATGCTGGAAAGGAGGTTCTTGGAATCAGAATGTTACCTCCAAAAGGGATAGATCCTAGAAGTGTGAGCTGTCCTCTTCCTGGGCAGAGAGGGTTCTGGGAGGAGGTCAGAATCCCAGCCCCCTTTGCATGCATAGCCCCATCCTTCTCTACTTTATTTCAGGGGAAGTCAGATGAAATAAACAGAATTTGGCTGCTGCATATGTAAATGCACACACACACACACACACACACACACACACACACACACACACAGGCATAGGCACATTCTGGGGAGGTGTTACAAAGTGTAAGGGAATGCTGGGTCTCTTCTTTCTGATTCCAGCCAGAAAGGCCTTTTATTGTCTATATGACCTTGAACGAAATCCTTACCTCTCCAAGCTCAGGACTGCCTCAATTTGACCTCTCCAGTGTGAGCCAGGCTTTTTGTGAAACAATGCATGCTAAGAGTTTGAAGACCCTGCCTTGTGAATTTTAACTGTTGTTTTTAAATGGAAGAAAAGATAAATTTATTGTGGAAACTGTAACTCTTTCAAGACTGGCATTTGCTGGGTTGTATTGATTTCTAATCCTTATTTGGATCATCTCTTATTCATTGTGTTTGTAACTACAGTGCTCAGTGCATGGCAGGCACTCAGAATGTGTGTTAGGCCTAGCGTAGACGGCACTGGAAGTACAGTGAAGGAAAGAGAGTCCACAGCTTTAATATAAAAGTAATATTTATTTATTGTAAAAAAAAAAAAAGCTTTAAAAAAGACAACAGAGTAAGAGGAAGTTAAAATTTGCCTTTGTTTCCACAGGTCAGAAGCAAAGGTGTAATAAAGCAGGACCTATGGACTCATAATCCCAGTATTTGGGAGGCTGTAGCAGGAGGATTGCCATGGGCTTGAGCCAGCCTGACCTGTAGAGTGAGACCCCATCTCAAAAAAAAAAAAAAAAAAAAAAAAAAGTAGAGGTATAAATGAATGACTTTCCCCACCCCACACACACACACACACACACACACACATGAAAGGGTCATTTGGGTAACGTTTAGTTGTCCGGGGAGGCATTTCTTAATATATCCAGAATTCCTTTCCAGAGATTGTTCTAAGGGCTAAGTCATATCCACTACCCTGCCCTTAGACCCACTACCCTGCCCTGACAGACTTCTTTAAGTAGGTCTCTAACTATCCTGCCTTGGGTCTTTAGCTGTTTTGTACTCTCCAGTCCACTGGTTCTGTAGTTAAAGCCTGCAATCCCTGTTTCTTAGTGACATATCCCTGGTGCTTATTTTCGAATTGTTTAAATATTTTTGAGAAATACTATATCTAATAAAATAATAATAATTGAGCTGACAGTGAAGATATTACCAAGGCCAGAGGCTGAAAAGGTCTGAAGCTGGAGAGCTGTAGTCGCAGCCCTGGATAGAGCTGCTCCATTCTTGGGCTCCAGACTGAGGCTGGTTTACTGTAAAGCCTGGCTGGGCCCTACCATGGGCAAGGAGGTGGGTTGTGTTTAGGCCTTGCTGAACCCCCAAGTTAGTCTCAAGAGTCTGTCGTTGATGAGCTTTGGCCCCCACTTGCAAGGCCTGGGAATGGGACCACAGGCAACTGAGGCTACATTTAGCGGTCTACACCTCTCTATTGGGAAGCAATTGAACTCTGAAGAGGCCTGGCTGAGCAGGTTGCCCTGAGGAGGTACCCAGGTTAGGTACCCTCTCAATCCCGGGGCTGCAAGGAAGGAGGACGCGGGTGCGCATTCTTCCCGAGCTTAGGATGCTTTACCCTGCTAAAAATAGAAATGGGAACCGGACCCCTAAGTATAGCCCGAAGGTTGATGAATTGGAGACCTGGGTTCGAGGCTAAGGAAGGTTTGCTGCCTTGCTCCGTTTTCTCATGCATGCCAGGATTTCCAAAAGGGGAAGAAAACCATAACGAGCCTCGGGTTTCCTTTCCGCGTGTCCCCGAGGGGCTTCGGAGGCCGGGGGAGGGGCGCGCCGGCCGGCTCATTACTACGAGGTGTTGGTCTAGTTAAAGCGCGGGCTTGTTTGATCTGGCGGCGGGTGGCAGAGGGAAAGAAGAAGAAAGGGTGGCGGCACAGGGAGAGAAAAGCTCACACCTCCTCCACCGTTTCCTAGCGCCCATAAAACACCTTTTATTAACTCCTTCGTGTCCGAAACGGCCCGCGTGGCCTCATAGCCCCTGTCACGGTGTTTACAGCCGAGACTAATGGGGCCCCATATTCACCCTGGTGCCAGGTGGAGGCGTCGGCCCCGGATCCCTGTCTTCGGCCCCAGCTACAGCCAAAGGCTGGGAGCACCTTCCCGCCTGGTCCGCAGCAGGAGCAAGACAAGGCCTGAGCAAGAGCACTTAGCATAGAGTTGCGTTCGTGCCGGTGGGCCTGGGAGTTGTTCCCAAACAGAAGGCAGCGTTCACAAGCAGGGAACCGATTGCTTGCACGCGACCAATGCACGCCGAGACGCCTGCCTTAGTGCACCCCAGTTTGGCTCCATACTCGCCCGCGCCCCCAAGCAAACGCACCAGCGGTGTATTCGGATGTGGAGACACAGTGCTTGGCTGCGGCCGCTCGGACGGGAACCATACACACAGCACATGCTCTCAAAAGTATTTGTTAAGTGTTCTGTTGTTAAGAGAGAAACCTCCATTTAACCATTAACATCAGACTATTTATGTATAAAATAACAGTTCCATGGGAGAAAGTCCTTAACTGCCTGCAGTGTTTGGAGTTGGGCTAAGAGGACCAGTATAGTCCCAGGCTCTATAGGAGTAGTTCTCATAGGAGACATCTACGAGCTCAGCATTCCCCAGCTCAGAGGAGCTCCTTTGTGTGATAGCAACCCTTGTACCTCTACAAAGCCCCTTGTACCTCCACAAAGCGCCAACCACACCCTTGTGAGCAAGCTGGACTGGGAATTCCCAACCAAGTAAGTCCCTATACCCGATTTCTTTCTCCATCTCCCCCGCCCGCCCCCATTCACACGAGAACTTCACTCTTCCATTCTTCGCCTGCTTCTCTCAGTTTGATCTGCACTTTGGTTCGATATTTATCAAGAAGGGGAAAGGGGGAGCAGAGGGACCAGTGAAGGATTCTGGCAGCAATACCACATAGGCCTGTGAGGTTCTAGAACAACTTTTTATTAAGTCAAGAGCATAGATATTGCTTTGGCAAAGGGTGGGGCTGCGAGTGGTCACACGGATTTGAGGTAGAAAGAGGGTGGGGGTAGGGAGATATATACCTGAGAGCAACAGGCATGATAGGTAGTTTAAATATGTTCAAAATTTGGCAACGAAGGGGAAAGCATTTATTTAGAAAGGAAGGAATAAAGGAGAAAGAAGGAAAGGAAAGAGGGTACAGGGACGAAGATGGAGAAAGGAAGGGGACAGGAAGGAAGGAAAGGGAAAGGAAGGGAAACGTTTCCCTTGGAAAGCAGAGGTGCTACGAGGGGAAGCAGTGCCTTCCCTCTAGATAGGAAGTGCAGTGACAAAAAGGAAAAACACCGCTATTCCCAAGAGAACGACCCAGGCAACGCCCGTCTTCCTGGCAGGAAACTACTGATTACTCTTATTACATTTTAACTCGAGAAGAGTCCGGGAACCTGACACAGACCCCGAAGAAGGCAAGAGAGCGAGCCAGAGAGCGCGCGAGCGCGGCCTTTGGGGTTGAGTTCCACCCAGACTGGTTGGAAGGGTGCGTCTTTCAGGCGCTTAGGTCTCTGCAGTCCCTCCTTTCTTGAGTCGAGCCTCCAAGAGCCGCCCTTGGCGGGAAGTGAACATATATATAAATTTCTCTTTCTCTTACTGTATTAACAAATTCAAATGACATTGCACGTGCGATCCTAGTGGGTAGTTGCAGCCGCGGATCCGCCGGCGCTCTGCCGAGACTGGGCGAGGCGCGCACACAAACCGCGGGAACCCGGAGGCCGGCCTTGGCCGCAGCGTCCTTCTCTTCTCCGGGTGGCCAGGTGGGCCAGCCGCAGCCGGGTCCTCGGCGCCGGTCTGGTCTCACTGATTTAGCTCCAGCGCCCAGACTTGTTGAGGCCAGCCGGTTCGCCCTTTAATCCTCTTTTCACCTGGCCCCAGGGCAGGAGGAAAGCCTTCGTGCTGAGGCTGCCAATGGACACAAACAAACAAACAAAGCAAGAAAAGTCAGGTTTAAGTTATTCAGTTCGATCTCCCCGGCTTGGAGGGGAACAAGTCGGGAGCAGTAACTGGGCGTCTTTAAATAAGTGACAGATGTCTGTTTGTGAAGCAGACAACGAGGATCATAAATCTGCCTTTATGCTCTAAATTCCTGGGATCCCGAAGTCTGTACAACTTGGGGAGGTTTGCTACTGAGAATTCTCCAGGTCTGAGGAAACTGACTCTCAGGTTTTGGCTTTAAGGAGTCTGGGGGACAGAGAGAGCAACCATCTCAGAAGACTGGTGTAGAAGGGTGGAAAGGATAATCTACTTGGGGTATAACTTGTTCCGGGTTTTCAGCCTGGTGTATTAGCATCTTGGCTGGGGCGCAGTTGGGGCTAGTACTGGTCCTTGGAGCCTCCCTCGACAAGCAATGAGGAAAGAAAGAATTGGCCTGGCCTCTACAGTCCTTGTTCCCAGCTCTCCAAACAGGAACCCAGGGTGCGATACCTTTTAGAGGCAGTGCCCTCCCAGGGGCAGGACAGGCCCTTGCTTCCAGTAAGGTGCTCCTCCCCGCCCGCCCCTCATCTCCAACAGCCCAGGCCTCAGGCAGCTGAAGCTGGAAGTCTGTCTTTCCGGTGGTTCCAGGTAAGCTGTCCCTATTTGCCATAGGCCCTATGGGTCAGACAAAAGCCTGCAAAGCTCCCCAGTCCACTCTGATGTGCCTGGGCCCGAGCCTACCAAACGGAAGGAACTCGGAGGCCAGAAGTTCCACTTCCCTGAGGAGAAACATCATCCAAAGTGGAGAAGACCCACAGGCCCACTAGGCTATCCCCAAAACCGAAGCCCCTCCTGCTTCTGAGCAAAGCCTTTGAGGTTACCTAACCCACTACTCTGGCAGCCAGTGGGACACACACAGGACCCAGCTTAGAAAAACTGACTTCATCCTGCTCCTCGTCCTAACTCCTCCAGTGAGGAGCCTGTTTCTCCCATTAGTATAATAATAGAGGTAGCTCAGCCTCTCCAGGAAACCCTTTAAAAACACTAATTGAGTCCACACTCAGATATTCATTCTCAAGGAAATTAAAGTAGGGAGTCCCTACTTGCATTCGCTTTTTTTTTTTTTTAATTAAAAAAAATTTTTTGGAGAATTTCATACATGAATACGGATGGCATTTCCTACTTCCATTCTCAACCTGGCTTCCAGGAAAGGGAAAGCTCAGAACTTCAAATTTAAAACAAAATATATTACACGCACACCTTTTGGGGAACCCATGGTTTTCCAATTCATCCTCAAAGAAGCCCCTAAGATCACCTTTAAAAAGCAAGATTCTGTGTTCACTCAGTTATGACTGAATTTAATTTTGATTCTTCCTCCCCTCCGTGCACACAGTGACAGACTGTGACAGCCTCAGAACTCTCCCTAGCCTTTCAAAATAGCATCCAGAACACAGCTTCCCCTGGCTGTTTGCAGGCCTGCCCTTAACCCAGCCCGCACCTTTGGCTGGAGTTTACAAGCCCCGGGACTCACCAACTCCCTTTTCCGCTTGCTCTCCCGGCCGCCATCCGCCTTTTTGAGTTCAGCCTTGAAGGCCTCGGGGTCACCAGCTTGTGCATCCTTGGCCAGCACATCCATCAAATAAGCGATGTAGCTGGTGGCCAGGCGCAGAGTTTTGATCTTGGAGAGCTTGGTGTCCGCGGGCACATTGGGAATGCATTCACGCAGCTCCGCGAAAGCGCTGTTAATGCTCTCTGTGCGCCTCCGCTCCTTCTTGGGTCCTGAGCCCTTTCGTCTGGGTAGGCGGCCTCCAAGCGCCTCTAGCCGACCTGGGCTCTGACCCGGCCTGGCGTCAGGACCATAGGCAGCCGCAGCCACTGCGGTGGTAGGTGGTGGCCCGGCGGCAGAGAAATCTGGGGCACCATCAGCGGGGCTCAGCAGCCAGCTCTGGAAGTAAGGCCGCTCCTGATGGCAGCGGGAGGCCGGACCAAAGAAGAAGGGTTCGTGGAGCATGGGGTGCGCCGGGTGGGGGTGGTGATGGTGGTGGTGGTGTGCGTAGCTACCCACGAGGTTCATGTTGGAGAGGCTCCTGGCCTGTACCGCCAGCCTAATTAGCGCCGCCCCATACGCCCCCACAGAACGGGGCCACCCGTGGGCTCCCGGGGCCGAGAACTGGCTGGGTTTTGGAGGAGTCCTGAACAAGGCTAGAGATGACACGCCGGACCTGCTGGCTTCTTCAGGGTTTCTGTAGGCAGAGAGAGGAGAGTGCGGATTCCCAAAGACCCGTTTAACCCTTCTGCGGACTTGCCATCGGGATCCTGCTTATATAAGGCCTGGGCTTTGATGTCAACCTCTAGCTGGAGCCAATGGCAGGAGGAGGAAAGGGGGTGGCGGTCCCAAGTTTTATGCTCAGCAAGCGCCACAGGATTCTAAGCTGACCACAGGGACTGAGAACCAGCCCCGCCTATGACCCTCCCCTCTCCTAGTTCCCCTCCTGGGAGGGCGGGGGCTACGAACTTGAGGCCAGGCCTGCTCACGCCCTGTACTGAAGCTACCACCCTTTCCTCATGGAACCAAGGAAAGGATTCTAGAATCATCACTTGAAAAGACACACACACACACACACACACACACACACACACACACACACACACACACAGAGGGACTGAAGATTAGGACCAGGGCAAAAGTGGCTCTTGTTTTTAGGTCTGAAATTCAGAATAGGATAGTCAGCATCCACGAACCCGAACTCTAAGGACGCTGATCATCGTGGGAGCCTGAAGGCCACCGGGCGCAGCAGGAAAGTAGGCTAGGCCCTAACACCTTCAGCCCCGCCCTTAGGTCCCCTGCTTCAGGCTGGACCTGGAGCTACTGCCGCACAAGGTGGTTCTCAGTGGTCCCGTTCTCGCCCAGCTGCTGTCTCCCAGGGGGAACCTTTCCAGAGGCCGAGGTGGAAGTGGGCGGGAAAGGGAGAGGGCTTCCAGCTCTTGGGCACTGACCGGTTTGTTCCGGGCTTGGGGGTTGGGGGTGGAGGCAGTGGCTGATCTCTGCTCCTCTCGCCTCTCAGGCGCCTGATTCGGTGTAAATGCCGGCAGGCCGAGCTGGTGGCGAGGCAGCCTGGCGGCGCCTAAGCCCTGAGGCATCTCTGTGGCAGGACTCCCCAGTGTCCTCGGAAGATTCGCACATATTGCTAGGAGCCGGCGACTGCTGCCTACTTACTGCATCCGGCTCACCACCCGCATGAGAACGTTTGATCCTATAAAGATACTCCACTGAAGCTGACACTATGGGAAGTCAGGCCCCCGCCCCTGATATCCACGGAGAAAACAGCCCAGGCCACTTCACACCCAGCTGGCTGAGGCTTGGTCTATCTCTGTACTGCCTTGTGCGACTCCCCTCCGGCCTAGGACACTTCTCCGAGTTGGGATTCTACAAAGAGATGGCTTTCCACGAGTTGATAATTACCTGGGAGACCAGGATATAAGCTTTAAGTCTGGGACTCTGTATCTTTCCATTAAGGTCCCTGTTCCTAGGACCCCTCCAACCTTATCAATCTTTCTTGTCTTACTCCTAGGTGGGTTGTAGAAAATGTGCCCTTCTTTCAAGTGTGAGTTGGGGGGTGAGATTATGTCAATTCCTTTTTAATTCCCTTTTAATCCAGTCACTCAAAAGTTGCTTACTGAGGCCCATCCTGTTAGTAAGACAATTACCAGACAGGGACAGTAGGAGAAAGGCCACAGAGTGCAGACGGGGAATGTGAGGCCCAGTAGCAAGTGGGTAAGTGAAAACGAATGCGGAGCAGGTCGTGGACGGATGTCAGCCCTCGTGTGTAAAATCCTAGGAACGCGTGCGTATTGAGATCCTGCGTGTCTGTGTAAACGTGGAATTCTGTGAGAATACATCCGCTTCAGGGCATGGCTGGAAGCTCAGACAGTCGCTGGGGTCTGAGCGCCAAGGTTCCACCTGTGGGAGCTGGCGGGGCTGTGGGCCCTGGCTGTGCAGGAGGTTGTGGGCAGCGGTGAAGAGAGGTTCTGGGACCCCTCTTTCCTGCCCCAGGCGAGCTGGAAACCCGCCGCGCTAGTCGGCGCCTGGCGCCGGCAGCGCTAGGGTTGGGCTGAGTAGGGAGCCAGAGGAGGCTCGCCGGGAGGGCGCCGGTTCTGAAGCTGTTCTGCGGGGTCCTGTGCCTCGCAAACGGGGAGGCACTGTCTGAAAGAGGGAAGCTGGGTGGAGAGGAATAACTTCTGTAGAAAGGCCTGGATCCTCAACTCAGCATAGTCCTAACCACAGCAGTGTTCACCCTGGGCCCTATAATAGGTCTGTCTATACTATACACACAGGAGGACCCCTTCGCTGGCACATGCCAACTGTGTGTACTTACAGGTCGCATTCTCCTTAGAAATACGAAGACATGGCATGCATACAGTATTACAAGATCTACATGTTTCTAGGGGTTTTGTTTGTTTGTTTTTGTTTTTTAACAAGGTGTCTGTAACCCTCCGAGTAGGTTAAACATTGAAGCTTCCAGTTTGGGTAGGGGGGTACAAGAAGATCATAGTTTTATCTGAGGCACATACCACTAAACATTGGATGCAGGGGTGCATACATGTTTTCATAGGTCCAAGCACTCTTTAAACACATTTATTTATTTGTGGAGAGTACATCGGTGCCATAGTGTAGTGTACTTGTGGGGAGATCAGAGGACAGCTTTTGGGAGGCAGGTCTCTCCTTCCCGTATGTAGAACCCTGGAATTAAACTCTGGTGATCAGCCTTGGTGACTAGTACCTTTGCCCACTGAGCCACTTATTTCATTTTAATTAATTGGTTAATTAATTAATTAAACACAGAATTTCATGTAGCCTAACTTGATCCTCCTACTCACGGAGTTCTGGGATTTCAGACAGGAGCCACCATCACACCCAGTTTAACTTTGTATCTTTTTACAAGTTCCTCAGAGTTATATTCACAACACAATTCCCCCCACCAATTTTTTTTTTTCCAGCTGGGCAGTGGTACAAGTAGTCTGAGATAATTTGGGAGGCTGAAACAGGAGAGTAGAGTTGGTCAAGGAGTTCCCATTAAATGTCTGGTTATGGTCATAAGTTAGGAGGGAGGATGAAAAGCTAACCATTTTTCTACTTCTAAATCTGTCGTGGCTTGGTGGCAGATATTGGGCATAACATAGATTGTGGATACTGAAAGTGTGAAGTTTAATGTGAAGTGTTACACACTTCACATTAAGTGTCAAATGCTTGTTCTAACTGTATAGAAGTCCACTGAGTTGTACAGATGTGGGACCTGGTTATTCTTGGTGTGTGATATTTTTATTTATTTACAAGTTTTTTAAATAATAAAGTCTATTTAAAAATTTAAATGTCAAAACCAACAATACCATCAGCCTTCCCCCAAACCACACACACACACACACACACACACACTCATACATACACACACAAATAAACATGACAAAAAAATCCATCAGACAACATGATGTAGATATCCGAATGTTCACAAGTAGACATTCTCAACCATTGGCAAGTTCCAGAGTAGCATCCAAAATCTAAATATTCAGTTTGTTCTTCATGTGCTGTATGGTTTCCAAACACTGCATGCATTCAGGGGGTTTGCATGTTTTTCACAGTCTTAGAAGACAATCACATTGACATAGACAAAATGAAATTGTACAGTAGTGCTCATATTATCAGGTCACCCACAAGGACAATGGACACTCACATAGGGTCACACTTGCATCTATAAAAAAGGCATCACTTTCCACCCAGCAATGTGAGGCCCACTTTTCTGACACTGCACAGATCACTTAGGGCTGCATATCTGGGCTAGATATTCTGGTAGAGAATGGATTACAGTACAAGGTGAGAGTCATCCCCCCCACACCCCACAATTCAGAGACTCCTTGAAGTCTTCCAAATCACCTGCTCCCCCAATGTGTGTTAAAAAAAAAAAAAAAAAAAGCAGGATACCCCTAGACAGTGCCATTGCCTTGGGGTTTGATTCAAGGGGACCTTATGTGAAATCTGCTGGGGCTCGGAGTGGAACACTGTTCACCACTCACAATTATGAACACCAAGGAGAGGACAAGGTTCCTAGCCTCCAGGCCCAGCTTTCCAAAGTGCTTTGCATGACACCTGGGGCTCAGATGAGTAAGGAAGACTTGGAGATTGGACGTGAAAGGGAAGGGACAGGGTCCTGCTGTGGGTCCTCCCTTTCCTACCCCAGGCGACGTGCAAGCACGCTTGAAAGAGTGGTATGCAGGAATTCGAGCAAAAGATGAGGCTTCTAGTTTAGTACTGTTTGTTTGTGGGCTTGTTTGGTTTTTGATTCTCAGATCAGGATGATCTCCAACTCAATGTGTAGCTCTGGTAGAATTTACAGTCTTTATCCTGAAGCTGCCTGTGTCTCCCAAGGGCTGTGTCTATAAGTCTGCACCACCTCACTCAACCCCGCGGAATTCTGGCGTCTGCTAGGAACTCGCTGTTTCTTTCCAGCTTCAAGCCTCAGTTTTCCCATTTGAAAAAAAAAAAAAAAAAAGAAGGTGGGGGATAGGGCTGGCCAATTGAATTTGTAATTTCTGTCTTTTTGCTGTCGGGTGCATAAATCCACCAAGGTCAGCAGGTCCGCTCTCCCTCAGCCTGCTTCTGCAGATCAAACCTCGGGAGCAAGAACTCTCTCGGGGTTCTCCTGCCAGACCACTCACCCCCAGTACTCCCAGTGTGCTTTGGGCTGGTCTGGCACTCTTGGGTCTATCTCCAACAACACTGGTGACACTGGGCGGGCAATCTTTCTTAGAAAAGAGAACACTCTCCTTGAGATTAAATAAACGGTGTCAGGGGAAAGCAGGCAATAACAGGACTGAGCCCACCTGGATTAAAACTGTCGCTTTCTGCTCCTTCTCTGTGAATGTGGGGAGCTGGCAGTATCCTCAACCTGAAGGATGAGTGACATTTGGGTAGGGCTGGGGCAGTGGTTGGTGTACTGTGGCATCACGTAAAATAAGAGCAAACTCAGCCCGCAACAGCCCTAGGGTTCGGTCTGCTGCGGTACCGCTGAGGAAGAGCGGCAACCTTGACTAGATGCAAAACCTTCAGGGCAGTTGGCCAGGCCATTGGATTCTGCAGCCACTGGGCTCTGCTGGTGGAGTTCAATCCTCCCCTTATCCTGCTCATCCTATAGAACCCAACTGCCATCCCTCCAGCATAAAAACCGAGTCCTGGACGACCCGAGGAGGGAAGGGGGGGGGG